CCACAGGGTCTCACCTGGGCACTGTGGCCCTTTCAGCTATCCCAGGACTTAATTCCTAGCCAAGTCTGGGAGGCCTAGGCATGCCTATGTTTCCTAGATGGTCTTTGATCCTGCCAGGCTGTGTGACTCTAGCATTTGCTGAACTTCTCTGGTCTAGCACTTTACAAAAAAGGAGTCTCAGACTCAGCCCTGGGGGACAGGGAATGTGATAGTCGATAACTATCAGGTGATGACAAGATCCTGTGTACCACCACTTCTCCCAGTAGTTATAAAGCCCTGGGGCCAGGGTCACTTCAAGTTCTCCTCTTTCCTTCATCAGAGTTGATTCCAGATCAGAACAGGCCCAGAACCCCATGATGGCAACCCAACACACCAAGTCCAGCCTTACTCCTCTCCATCACCCCAGCCCTACCACAGTCCCAAGATGCCTCTGGACTGTCCTATGCACACCACACCTGCCCTCGGCCCCATCAGCATCCCTGTCCCAGTACCACTTTGGCTTCCACCATGCACTTGGCCAGTCAAGACAAGTCCACACCCTTGCCATCCAGCCCTGGGGACAGATACATTCCCGTCCTGTGAAATTCAGCCAAGATGGGGCTGAGGGCTGGGAAAAGAAGCAGGCTGGATGCCCTGTGCCTGGTGCCAAGCATGTCAATCTGTTGCTAGACTTAAGTGACATTTGGCTACTTGTCCTTTGCTTTGTTGTTGTTGTTGTTATGTGCCGTCGAGTCAGCCCTGACTCATAGCGACCCCTCCTTGGGTTTCCGAGGCAGTATCACTACGGAAGTAGGATTGCCCAACCTTCCTTCCGAGGAGTGGCTGGTGGGTTTGAACCGCCAGCCTTCTGGTTAGCAGTCAAGTGCCTTAGCCACTATGCTACCAGAGCTCCCTGTCCTTTGCTAGGCTGATACATTTTTCTTTCTCTTAATTTCCTTTGTAAAAGTCAAGCCTTATTGCTCTTCTCTGGGGAAGCAGGGTGTGTGAGGAAGAAGTTGGCATCCCATCCTATCCACTCTACCTCCCCTACCGCCTACAGCTGAGCATTCTCAAGTTAATGTCCCCTCTGGGCTGTCCCCTCACCACTCAAAATCTTACTTCCCAGTCCCTCCTCCCAGTTTAGGCCTAAGAGCTGCCCCTTTTTCGCCCATGGTGATGTACAGGCTTGAGCTCAGAGTCAAAGCCCAAGGAACTTGTCTAAACATGCCCCTGCCTAAGCTGAAATCTATCTTCCCATCAGGGAAACTGAGGCTTGAGGAGGAAGAGGGGAATGAGTTCACAGCAAGTGGTTAGACATCAAAGGTTTCATTAGAAATATGAGACTAAGCTTTGCTCATAGCAGGTAAGGTGGGATAGAGACATCATGAAGAAGTTCCTAACGGTAAGACTTCTGGGGCAGGTTGGGGCTGTTCAGAAGGGGAAGGGTAGAGGTGGGGTGGGGAGGTGGTGATCTGCAGTGGGGCTGGGAACTGAGTACAGGGCATAAAAGTTTCTTCAAGACGTATAAGAGGTGGAGGGAGATGTACTCCTGTTTAAAGGAGAAACCAGTGCAAAATTTTTTAAAATCCAAAACACTTGAGTAACCCCCCTAAAAAAATTCCTTCCTCAAAGCCAAACTCTGTGCAGGTTTGGGGAGGTAGTGGTGGGGTGTTACATATTCAAGGCAAGATGAGAGAGTACAGGGCATGGAAGGGTCCTGAAAATGGGGGCACCCACATAAAGGAGAAAGGTACAAAATAAAAATCCTGGGTATTCCCCCCTGCAAAAAATCCTCCCCAAACTCCACCATGGGTTTCAGGAGTGAGGTGGAGGTGGGTGACTCACCTGGGCTGGTTGGCCAGCCCCGGAGGGGGCGGAGTCGCCATGGAGGTGGGAGCAGAGGGAGCTGAGGAGGCACACGGGGTCCACGGTCCAGCCGCCAACCTGTGTGTGCGAAGCGGGGTACACCCCATTAGGGGGAGCGGGCAGGAGCCGCTGGGGGACTGGAAAGGGGTGGGAAGGGGAATTGCTTAGTGAGCCTTGGCACAGAGCTCACACACAGAGGGAGGAGGAAGGCTGGCCTGTCCCTGATCTGGGCTGGGTCTCTAACTTGAGCCTGGGTCTGTTTCCAGAAGTTTGTCTCTCCTGTCACGCTGGTGGGTGGGTGTCCCTGATCCCAGGGCAAGGCCTCCCCTTGAAATTCTTTCTTCCATTACTTGACTACCTCCCTGTACATTCTCCAAGAGAGTTGTTCCAAATTTGCCCCTGCCTCCTGCTGTTCATTCCCTCGTCACTGAGGGTGTCTCTCCTGCCTCACTGAGACAGGGACCACTCAGCAGGAGTGGCTTTACTCCCGTCCCCCCAGCACCTCTTTCTTCCCTCCCATCTCAGAGGAAGCACTTTCTTCTCTCACTCCAAGGCCACACCACACCTAAAGCTTGAAGCCCATCTCTCTTGATTCCCTCAAGATCTATTTCCTGTGTGTCCCTCTCACCCTCGGCATCCTCACATTCCCTCCCATCCAGCCACTCAATCCATAAATATTTCCTGAGCCAGCACTATGCTACACACTGACCACAGCACGAGGGAAGTGCCGCAGGTCCTGCCCACTTACATTCTGAGGAATGGAACAGATGAATGAATGAAAAACGGAATGAGTGTGCAAGCCAGTAAGTGACTGCTCTGATTCACTTCAGAAGGATGACCTGGGTGCCTGCTCTGGGCAGTGAACATGGCGGACAAGGTGCGATGCCTATAGACACTTCCTCATCTTCTGTCCAGGGCCTGCTGCCCCTTGAAGGGTCTTTGTCTCTTCCTGGCCAAATTCCCAGACAGGTCTTTGGCCAGGGCTCCTGTTTCTTCACCATCCCCTCTCTCCCTGACCTCTGAAATCGGTCATTGTCTCCCCACAGCAACAGAAATATGCCTTTGGCACCTCTGGGCCCCAAAGCCTGTCAGCCTCAACAATTGTTTCCTCTCCACCCCTCAGACTCCTTAGGGCAGGTGGGTCTCCTGATGGCCCCTCCTTCCTCATGGAGGCAGAACATTCCTGGGCTGTTCCCTGAGACCATCTTGGGCCCTCTCCCCTCTCACACTCCATTCTGCTTTTGGTGGCCACTCTTGTGTCTGAGGTCCTGCTCCCATTTTGGCCCTGGTCATGCTCAGCTCTCCTCCTGAGGCCATCCCTCCAGGGTCCTGAGCTACACATTGGGTGCTTTGTGCACGCCCTGCTGCCTCCTCAAAATCATCTCCCTAGATTCCTCTCTTCCACTGCACGCCCCCCCCCAAATCTTTCCCTTCTCAACCCCCTATTTCTCTTCAAGGCACCAACATCTCGCTGTTGCCCAGGTTTCTGTCTTTGCCTCTTAGATCCAGGCAGGAAACAAATCTTTCTCAGTCTACCTTCCAACCTCTATCCAGGCATCACTTTCCTTTTATCTCCTCTCCTGTCCCCTCCAGTCACCATCTAGAAGCAACCACAGCCCTCCTGGCCACCACCACATGGACCAACTTTTCCAGTCTGCCCCCTCACCTTCCCCCACTGCCTCTCACCCTGAGCCTCTGCCCCAGCCTGGTGGGCCTCTGTGCCATTCCCCAAACCTACTCCTGGCCTATAATCAGCAGCTCCACCCCATTACCCAAAATGACATGCACTTTCTCAATGTTTAATCAAACTTTTCTCATGCTAGAAGACTAGCTTAGGTACCATCCCCTCTGAGAAGCCTTCCCCAATTAGGCCTGCTTATGTGAGCTCCCCGTCTCTACACCTCCTCCCAACTGACTATTCCCTTCATACTCAAGTTTATCTGTCCTTTCTCCCCAGCTTGATCCCATTCCCTTGCTCCTTCCTCCCAAGCCAGGACACACAGAGGGAACCCGTGGAACAAGTGGCTTCCTGAGAGTGATGGCCACACCCCTTTCATCTGTATTCTGTCCTCATTCCCCTGTCAGGACTCTGAAGCTGGGGAAAGTGCAAAATCCAGATAGAACTGCATCGGCATCGGGGGACCATAAGGCACCAGAAATGCCCCATCGCATTTCTTGTTCCCTGCAGCAGGGTTGGGTGGGGCACTCCTCCCCATTCCCAGCCACACCCAACTACAAGAAAAGGGGGTCAGAGCTAGACAAGAGTTGGGGCAGGGGCCATTCCCCCAGGCCTTGATTGAAAGGATGCTGATGGGACATGCCACCCTCCCCTCTGTCCCTTCTCCCACTGTCCAGTGGCTGAGTCTCAGCAGCCAACATGCAGAACCCTCAAGAACTCTCACCAATGTACAATTGTAAACAGAAGCTAGTCTCAAGACAGAACTTTCCTGTAGACAAGAAGGTGGTACTCAAAAGAGAGATGCATTCAGGACCCAGAGATCTGAGGTTTAAACGGGCAATGTCCCACCCCATAAAAGGAGAAAGATTCTGCCAGAGGCAGGGGCCCTGTCTCCTCTTTGAGCCTTACTGATGGCAGGAGAGAATCAGAGGCACAGAGAAAGGACGCTCTTGTTCAAAGTCACACAGCAGAGTCTTGGGGGAGGTACAGAGAAGGAGGAAGGGGACATGCCTCAGGAGTTCTGGGTTCCCTTTCTTGCAGGGGCTGGAGAAATATCCCATTCACCCCACTGAGGCTCCCAGACCTGACCTTCCCTTAGGGGCCATCACAGAGGTACCTACCCAGAGCATCTCAACACCACAACTGGATGGACCCTCAGACTCCCAGGTCCCAATGACTGTCTTCCCCTTGTCTCTCAACCACTCTCTTGGCCTCCAAGATCCTCTTTCTTGCCCCTCTGCCCAAACAGCCCAGTTAAAGAGGCTGGGCTCCCTTGGACCAATGCCACATGCTCCCAATGTCAGGCCAGCAAGTAGAGGGATGGAGGCTAAGCTGCCATTCCCTTCCAAAAAAGGCCAACCTGGGCAACTGCCCCGACCTAGAAACCCCCAGAACCAGGACGAACCTAGGGGCGCAGGGTCAGGCCCTTTCCCTGCCCTCACCCACAGCCCCAGGCTGCCGCGCAGGCCCCGCTCACCTGCTCGCGCATCCTGTCCTGCTGGCCACGCAGGGCCAGGGCGTGCTGCGGATACTTGCTCTTCAGGTGGTCCATGAAGGCATCGCGCTTGCGCTCGGCGTCCGCCTTCTGGAGCCCGCTGAGCGCCTCCAGGCTCTGGGCAGCGATGACCGTGTGCCGCCGCTCAGACGTGTGCACCAGCCCCACGTTGGAGAAGCGCCGGCCCCCGCCGCCCCCGCCCCCCAGGGTCCGGTACTCCCGCGGGTACTCGGCATCGTCCGCAGACAGCATGGGGGGGCTGCTCCGCTCCGGATCTATGAGAGGGGAAAGGGGGCATGACAGGGTCATGGCGCGCCCAGTCTGGGGGCTGCCCTTCCCCCACCAGGGGTCACTGCAGGGACTGAAAAGACAGGGCCTCCCATCCCCACTAGGGGACGGGGCGGAGGAGGATAGGTAGGTAGGGTGGAAAGTGAGCTGGAGTTCCAAGGAAAGGTGGGAAGCAAAGGCAGGAGCCAGCTTCTTGCTCTTCTTTCTGTGGATTTGGTGGGATCATGGCTGCAGAGTGAGCGGCTGTCCTGTGCGGCCAAGGGTTTGGGTACATGATTGTTCTGAGGATCTGGACCCCTATCTAATCACACACATCCTTCCTGCTTCCTAAAGCTGGTGGAGCTGCTGAAAAGATATGAAAGGAACCTGCACTTTTTTCCGTTGGAGAGCATCCTCTAAGGCTCTTGAGGACCCTCAGTCTAGCATATCAGTCTAGCTGGGAAAGGGGCAGGACTATGTTGCATGGGGTGGAATGAGGGCTTCCCAGGGTCTGGCACAGTGGGACCCCTCTCCCCTCCCTCCCCAGAGACAGACAGATGGACGGACAGGAGAGGCTGGGCACAGAGATGACAGTGAGAGATGGATTTGGGACAAACTCAAAGAAGAAAGAAAGCAGACAAAACAGCTCAATCCCGCCCCCTGGGACCTTCCTCTCATCCCTCCCATCTCCTTCTCTCATCCCTCTTCCCACAACACACACACACACACACACACACACTCAAGACCTATAAGGAACACACAGGGGACAAAGGACAGTACAGAAGAAGTGAGAAGAAGAAAAGGCCGGGGGTGAGGGGTCGCAGTCTCTACGCAGAACTCTAAACTCCTTCCCAGAAGGCCACCCAGCCCCAAGCTTTGGCCTCCCCTGACCCAGGCCCTATTGTACTCCACCCCTCAGTCTCAATGATGACGGCCCATAGCCCAGCAGTGCCCCTTGGGGTAGGAGGAGTTCCTGGGACTCACTTCAGCCATATTCCTGGGCACAGAGCCTAGATTTGCCCTCACCACTCCCAGGATTCACCCTCTACTATGAGGCCAACCCAGTCTCCTGGCACCCCCTGGGCCCCACAATCTGGCTGCAGAACAAACACCCACAAGTGCACACCCAGGACTGGAGCAGCAGCACTGCAACAGGCACTCACATGTCCATACTTCCTGACATGCAGGGCCACCTTGCAGGGCAGACTGGGGTGACGAAAGGAAGCTGAGGATTCTGGGACCCAGCCAGTTTCCATCCAGCCCAGCCCCTCCTCAGCCTCCCTCCACACACCCCCTGTTCATCAGACTACTGGCTGGGCATCAGTCAGCCCCTTCCCAACCACAGGAAAAAAGAGAAGATTCACCATTATTATTTTATTTATAAACTGCTGTCAAGTTGATTTCGACCCGTAGCGACCCCTCACTATCTTCCTTCCGAGGAGTGGCTGGTGGGTTTGAACCACCAGCCTTCTGGTTAGCAGTCAAATGCCTTAGGCACTACGCCACACCAGCCACTCTGCACCCAACACACACACACAGTCCTCCCTGGGCTAAGACTGGAGATGTATAGATCCAGTGGACAGAGCTCAAGAGGACCCAGCACTTCCCACCAAAACCAAGGGACAAGAGGCTCCCACACTCCCAAGGGCCTGACCACTACCACCATCCTCATCATCTCTTGAGAGCCTCCCAACACCTTTGCCAGATGGGTGATACTCTGATCCCCATTTCAGAGATGGAGCTACTGAGCCTCAGAGAAGTCCAGTGACATGCCCAAAGCCACAGTAAGGGGTAGAGGCTCAGTTTCGTCCAGTTTTTTAGGTGCACTTCCAATGCACAGTTTTGTTGCCAGATAATAATTTATATTAAGCTGATACACAAGATAGCACACATGCCCTAGTGGACTCTCTGGTTTACCTGCTAGTCTCCCTCCCCATCACGGTGTTGGTTCCTTCTTCCTCCCTCCCCCAGGCATCCATCCTTCTCACCACAGTCACCACCCTGTGCTGTGTTCTCCCACCATGTGATACACAGAGATGACTTTGGCAGGAACACTATTTTGTCTTTAATAGTCATAGCTTTTGTTTCCATAAGGATTACAAAAAACTCTACCTTGAAGGTCAAACCACTAACTTCATGGAGAATGTTCCTTCAGATAGGAGTGAGATAAGTTTTCTTATCTCACTTAAATTTATTTAAGTTCAAAGTGAGCTGAATTAAAGACCAGAAACACTAAGCAAATACAGTGCAAATGGTGCCCTGACATGGGGGAAACTTGGGAAGATGGGCCCTGACTGAGAGAGATTGGTAACTCATCATCACGTTGGCCCAGTCCCTGCCCTGGAGGAGCATGTGGCCTCCCAGGGACTAGGAACCTGATTCAGGGTGACAAGTGGATGTGCTGAAAGTACCTGAATAATACACCCAGAAGAAAGAGGACTGGAATGGGGTGCTCTGGGCACTTGAGCAATATAGCGAGCCAGGGGACTTCCCACTGTGTCCCTTGACTTCATTCCCCCTTTACTGCCCTCACCGCTATCAAGGGGACACTCAATAGCCCCCCACTAAAGAATTGGGAAGGGCTGAGTGGAAGCCGTGGCAGGTGTGCTCAAAGCCCTACTGTATGACTGCAGTCCCATAAATTGTGCACAGTCAGCAGTGGGGAGGGGCTGCAGAGCAAGCCTGAGCAGAGAGAAGTAAACACACAGGGGTCACCTGGAAGCCCCGCCTCTCAGCCCAGCTAAACCCACTCTGCCTCCTCCAGGTCAGGACTCACCCCTCAGATGATGCCTAGCCGTTGACTAAGGAGGGGTCCAGGTCAGGCAGGAGCTAGACACAGGGGTGATAGAGAGAGGGGAGGGGACAGGAGAGATGATCTTTCATGGGGAGAGGAGTTTTGGTCTGTTTGACAATCCTCAAGATCCTTGGTTTCATTTACAAAGAAGAAACTGAGGCTCAGAGAAAGGATGGAAGGGTATGGGGAGCGCAGATCTTCTAGTTCCCTGAGCACATTTAACCTCTGCTGAGCCTAACAGCGTTGGGAGGACCAGCCTGGGCTTCTGAGTTTTCCTCCACATACGAATCATATTTGAGGAGTTTGGGTGCCCTCAGGAAAGGAGGTCAGTGACCAAACTCCTGGGGGTCTCTGTGGGCACAGGCATGGCTTCATCGGAGAGGGCCCTGGACACTGGAAGCCTAGGAGAAAGAATTCCAGGCTAAAGACATCTTGGGTTTAGCCCTTCATTTAGTTATTCATTCTGTCAACAAGTCTCTTCCTATCTGAGCTTGAGGGCACTAACCTGTAAAATGAGGACATTAACCTCTCAGCCTCGCCCCTGGGCACTGAGTGAAAAGCTGGCAAGAAGATGGATGAATTAAAGATGTTCATGGCAAGCTTGTTGGACCTAGCAGGATAGCACCCCTGAGCCTGCTCCAGCCACGAGCAAATCCTCAGAGCAGCCCTGACCCATCTGAGCCAAGCTTGTGTGCCATCGAGTGGATTCAGACTCATAGCGACCCTGTATGATAGAGTAGGACTGTTCCATAGGGTTCTGCAATGTTTACAGAAGCAGATTGCCAGCTCTTTCTGGTGGGTTCAAACCACTGACCTTTTGGTTAACAGCCAATTGCTTACCCATTATGCGACCAGGGCTTCTTCTGCCCGGGCTGAGCAGCCCAGTGAAAAGTGGGAGATCAATTCCAATCTAGCAAGCAGCAGGGGCCAGCCCTGCACAGATCAATGCTTCCTGTTCAACTGCAGGGAGACGGTGAGCCATCAGGCAGGCTTCAAAGGGAGACAGGGCCAGGAAACCTTGTGGGAAGAGGTGGAGCAGGGAGGCCGTGAGGTGGGTAAGCAGGGCTCAGGTCTACTGAGGAGATACAGGAGGGGGAGCTGAAGGACTTCAAGGTAGAGAGGCAGAGGCAGGAAACTCTGGGTGAAGGGGAGACGTGGGGAGGCTCTGGGGAGAAGCAGAGCTGGGATGCACTGGACAGGGGAACTGGGGCTGAGGGCCCCTGAGGGAGGGGTCTGGGAGATCCGGAGGGGCTGGAGGCTTTCCCATCTCTCCAGGGACTTTAGGTGTGGAAAGCCAACTATAATTTTTTGAGTCAGAGACTCAAGCTCCAGGGAAGATGCCTGGGACTGGTGAAAGCCACCTCCGAAGGAGGGGAAGAGAGGAAGTGGGAAAGGGGAGCTCCCTTCATCCACAGCTCAACCTTCTTGCCTTGCGAACAGGGAAAGTAAAAGTGGACTGAGGCTGAGGTGACCAGGAAGCAGTGGGTGCCCCCCAGTGGCCAGCTGAGGATAAAGACGCAGGTGCTCGGGAACAGAGCCACATTTTTATTTGTTCCAGCAATTCCAAATTCCACAGTTATTTAGGGGCTTGATTTATTTTTATCCTGTCCTGCATTCTTTTACATGGCATCACTGTATAAGAGCCCCGAGTTTTAATGACACTATCTCATAGGCCATCTTCTTCTCCCACCTGACATCTTTACCCCCAGATTATCACCATCTACTCTGTCCTCTGGCTGCTGGGCTACATTCACACATGACATCATCTCAGAGGAAGAGAATGGGGAGAAGGGAAGAGGGGGAGGGAAAGAAGAGACTGCAGGAGGAGGGTATGGTGGAAAGAGGGAAGCTAGGGGAGAAGAGAAAGAGAAAAGAAGTGTGTGTGTGTGTGGGGTGGCTCTGAGGTTTCTGTCTGCCCCAGCCTCCAGTGCAGGGCTGGGAGTTCAAGGCCGTCTCCCTCTCTCAGGAGATCAGGAGGCTGGACAAGTTCCCTTCCTTGGGGACCTGAGATGCTGTCACAGGTGTGCCCTTCAGAGCCACCAGCCAACAATCCATCCCCAGGGTCAGGGGCTAGGCTGTAGCCCTGGCAGGAAGGGAGGCAGGAAGTACTTAGGATGATAGTACCAACTCAGGGAGTCCACAGGGCTGGGGGCTGGATGCCAGTGAGGCCTGTCTATGACAAGTAGGGCAG